CCCCCACCCCCCCTTCTACCGCATCTCGCCTCACCCCTAGAACCATCGTTCAAAGTGTGCGTAGAATAGTTCAGTTCGGTTTCAAGTTTTACAACCATCAATTGTGCACGTTTAAGTGACGGTGTTGGCTGCTGTCTTTAAGTTGTCCAGTTGAATAAAAGAGCCGAAGGAAAATCGAAATGTTGTGAACAGAGTCAAAGAGAAAATAGAGAATTTATTTAGACTAAATTTGCAAGGATAATGAGTAGATGCAGGAGTGCAACTGCTTGCGGAACTCAACCATATTATTCAGTGTCCCTAACCATTGAGTACGATGATTCCGAGGTTCACATCAGGAGAACCAAAAGCGACCTATATGGCCGAATATCCTGGTTGCGGTTTTCATACCCCAACGCGCGATATTTGCGGATAGTGACTGAAAAAGTAAAAAACGGTCAAACTAAGAGGGTGAAGGATAGTAAAATTCTTTGTGGTAGTTAGCACCCAACACAACCTTATTTGTTTGTAATCAAGGCACAAACCCAAGATGTTGGGTGCAGTGACGACTAGGTTCGGAATATAATCACGGCGGAACAGTTGGTAGACATTATTGGATCATATTTATGCCCAACGGGGCATCTCATAACGATTGATCTGGGCTAGGCCCAGAATGATTTGAGCGGAGGGATTTCGTAATCATGACAGAAAGAGCATAGACTGAAATAGCTTTTGTTGTGAAATATCCTTGATTTTGAGTACTGGTGTCCTGAAAACGAGCTGTCTAGTCAGGAGTCACACTAATTGTGCACTGCCAACGTGCATACAATATTTGAACTACGGTTCGATCACATGCCGGTGCAGCCGAAAGACACGCAGGAGCACCTAACTACTTTCTACAGAAAACGTCCCTCGTCGTCGTCGGCTCACACAAACAAGATCAATTGTTTGCGAGTTACGCACATTGGAGACCCTACATTGCATCTATTCGCTAGTCCGAACCCTTACGGGATAAATGACAATTCACGTGAAGGTGTGCTCATGTGCGTTAGAACAAACTGTGGCAACTATGGCAAATCTTTCGCATAAACAAGGAGGTAATTTTTCCCCGCCATATTAAGACGAGGTCCTCTTTTGTATCCGACTATCCGTGCCCATATTACTTACGGGGCCCGCGCTACTTTCGCACAAATAGCTCTATTCAGGTGGCCTATATACACACGTACCTGGCTCTCACGCACAGAGACTGTCTGCATTTTCTGCCTTTTCAGACTTGAAATGCATTTGGAACATACACGTATGTATGTATCAACTGACTAACTAGCTCGCCCAGATCACATCACATCCAATATGGGATGCGTAATCACACACACACACACACACACACACACACACACACACTGGTTATGTGAGTCATCAGCACGAGTGCATACGTGAGTAGTGCATTTTAAATCGATCAAATTAATGTGGCTGCTGTTTGATGGACACGCGCAGCAAAATTCTTGGGGGAGGGGGGCATTCGATTTGGTTATCCGGTGTGGAAAACGAGAGCACCACACCGGTCACTGTTTGACCACTGATCACCGTAACCAATTCTAATCAGAAAAGGCGGGAAATATTGGACAACAGACTTGATTTGGAAATAGCATTCACGAATATTTCCGAGCGAAGTGTGACCCAAATTTTCGGCTAGTAGATGAAAAATACAAATTCCCCCCATTTTAAGTAGAATAAGGCCAGTCTACGTTGTTTCTAAACCTCAATACACTTTAACTGCATACTGCTGAACTGCGATACTATTATTTTCCAAAATATGTCCTTAAGGCGGTGAGACATTTCGACACTAATGCCTCATCAACAATTTCCAGGGCTTCATAATCGGGTCATGATCAAGGAGTTGATCCGAGACAAGTGAACCTCAACCAGCAATTGCGATGATTCTAGTTTGATTTGGGGTAGGGGTGATGCGTCTAACTTCAGCAAACTAGAAAATTTGTCCAAACATTCTTATACTACTTCATATCGAAGCACTAAAAGTTGGTCCTGGTGCCCGATTTTCTAAGGTTAGACGTATCGAACGCGTAAAGACTAGCGCGGAATGATTGCAACGAGTCCTCGAGATTCGCTTGTCCAGTAGCGACCCCCTGAGATGCAAATGATGTTTGCGTTGTCTAATGCTCATCGGGGGTACGTGTATAAGAATAAACTGACAAAGGCCTACCGGATACGGAAACCTGACGAGCAACAAAGACCGCGAGATGTGTCGTGTGCTTCTATGAAATTCTGTCTAGTCATTCATGTACTTACGAGGTATGTATGAAGATACAAGCTTGGGGAACAACCGTACTACCCAGGTAACAACGTTGAAAGATAACAAGCAGGAAGTTGAGTGCGAATGCTAAAAAACAGTTTGAAGAAATGCATTTTTTATGCGCGTCTTCATCATAAACTCTTTGATGTGTTTTATGTCTGTTTGGGTCTATTTGCTCTCCACGGAATACAGAAGTTTAAAAACACAGAACAGCTTTTGTTCTACTAATTTCTGTTCTAACCCATATATCCCTGAGCGATTCTAACCAACAAAATTATCCATCCATTGGGTTCCAACTAAGAAGCATTTTTAGTGTTTTTCTCTATTCGAGTTACTCCTGTCTCCAGGGCCTAACCATAAGGGTAACCAAAAGATAGCCACCAAAAACGGTCGTACGACAGTGTGAGGTGGCGAACGGTTGTGAAAACTGAAATTCAATCCCAACGGACTCTGTTCCGGGTGTACGAGTGTGCGAGTTCTCAGTAGAAATCGCATGTGATTATCACGCGGGGCAAATCACAACCCGTGTGAATGGCCCTAAATATTGGTGATTTGCAGAATGTGAAGAACTAAGCCATTAATCGGATACAATAGAGGAGCTNCAATCTGTTCAGTTGACACACATTGAAAGACAAGTCCGAAAAACAAACGCACAAAAATAGTATACAACGACAAACTCCAATAAAAAGAGATTGGTCACTTCTTCAAGGTATAGCTGTCTGTCCTTGTTTTTCCCCCTAAAGTTCGTCCTCATTTGTTCAAATTTCACCCATAGGGATACTTGTAGGGTGGCAAATGCATACGAGCGCGCACACACACATCACTATCACAAATAGAGAAGGAGTCAACTGGTCTAGCGATTAACCGAGTGCATGCAATTTGACCGGTCCGAGCCAGAACAGAGCCAGAGAGCAAACCAAAAAACGACAATGATTGGTTTGTTTTCTCACTTTACTGGTCAAACTTGGATCCACATGGAAGAGTGCCAAACAGAAAGCCGCAGGTGGAAATTTGCACAGAACAGCAAAGTAGTTGGAATTCCTCGCTTTCTTTTCTCCTCATGAAAGCGTTTAAAGACAACAATGCATAGTGCGTGCAGATATTCTGGGTTTTTTTCATTCAAGTCAGTCAGTTGAATTCTGTCTACACGCAATTCATCAACAGACGGTGGACGAGAAATGTGACTATAGTTTATTACTCCATCAGTTTACAATGGACTCCAACAGTCGTACAATACCCAATCAGGAATAAAACCGTTAGGTGTTGACAACACAGGCATCGACTGTTTTCATCCGACTGGAGCCGTTGGGATTCCGTCTCACAGTGAGTGCATGCATAAGACGGCATTTATTTGATTAGCAGAACCGAGCAGTGAATGAGGTGTACAAAAAACAAGCATAACCACGCACAAACACATAGACACATAAAAAACGCAGTCAGTTTTCTCAAATCCCTAAATATTAAATGCTTAAAATCATTATCATCATTTTTTAGTACTTTGCAAGATGACGGTTGGGCGTGTCTTAAGGACTTTATATCTTTCAAACAAGCATAAAAAGCCTTTCCTAATATTCACCTTCAAAATTACCCGAAATACTATACGTCGCTCTATTGCAAAGGAAAATTTCCACATAAATGATAGGCTGTCTAGGCGATGTGATAAACTGTGCGAAAAAATCATTTCGTGAAAAATAGCTTCCACCGATTTCGTCAGCCTCAATCTCTGGTGTCAAATTTCACACCAATCCTTAAGTATAACATGTTATTCCGAATTTCGTACATGCTATTAGGTGTGCATTTTTTACAGTAACCAGGGATGGGTTGTATGGAACTTCAGGGTGGAGTGGTGCCTATGGTAAATGAATCTTTCTAGTCTCAAAAGCGCATTTCTGACATTGACCCCCATCTAGCATTTAGCTCTCGCTTGTTGGCTCCCTGTAGCTGTAAACATACAACAGCAACTGACACGTTCGAGACAGTGTTCTATAGGCGGGGTTAGCTTTCCCGTTACTAGAGTCGATTCCCCACAGAACTGAGATCAGCTTCCGACGGCTAGAAATACCAATTTTCCACATTTTCTGCCTGGACCCCTGTCCACCGTCCACCGTTACAAACTCCTATTACTGTGAAAGAATAGCTTGCAAATGCAAAGGTTACAAGTGCTTCGTGTGCCAAAATCCTGGTGGTAGGGACGATCACTTCGGAAACCATTCCCAAGCAGATTTATGGAAGGTTAATTGGGCAGTTCATCCTGCCACACGAGGCCAGGCTCATAAAAGTACGACGTGAAGACAAAAAACGAGAGGGTGGATAGATTCACTTTTCTAAGATAAGACGAACAACCCATTTGTTTTACAAAATGAACATTATACGTACATCAAAGTCAATGACAATCGACCGGATATATGTATCTTAAATGTTCCAACCGTCAGCTGAAGTAGAGCCTACAGATGACTATGGTCCGACTATAGAATAAGACAGTAATATTCATCATTTTTCAGATTTTAAATAGTTCGAGAGAAAACATTTATTGCTCAGGCTAAAGGAGTAATTTATTCGTCCTTAGTCGAGTAAAAATAGATCCCAGTAAGCAACAAGCGATTAAAAGTTAAAAAGAGACTAACTGGTAAACTGATCACAAAAGAAACAAGTTCACCAAGTCCTTCTCTTCAGATCGATATACGTGCCTACTCTCAGACTGAGATTGATCACGTACGAAGTAACACCACCGATCGGATAGACAAGAGTTCAAACCAATTTCTTCTAGGGGTTAGACCGGGAGTGGGTCAGTCAGTGCACTCTCTATCCTTCGATATGTGTGTGTGTGCACTTTGGTTTAAGTTTGGGTCGAACGAGCCATTCGCAGATAAGCGGGAACATGAAAGTCGAAATGCGAGAGGAAAACAAAAAGACGCACCGGCCAAACGGTGCACGGAATGATCACAGCGCGGGATCGACACGACAAATGATGATATTAGAGTGTATTGGAACATCGAGTGGGACGAGGGAATCCAAGTCCGAAGCTGCAGTAGCCGTTGCAACCAAAGTCAAGTCTAGTTTATCATATTCACCTCAACACAAGTGACAAATTCTTGATAGTCGGTATATAACGTAAACTGGAGCGGAGCGATTCTTTCACAGATTTGCCGGAGGAGGGTATGCGCGAAATAAAGCAAAGTTGTCAAAAAGGAACTGACCACCGAGTACATTCAGTTGTGAAGCCATCACGAAGAGACTGCTCGTTAACGTGGTCTTTTTCCATCAAATTGACAGGCAGAACAGTCAATAACTGGGGATAAGACGGGGTTGGTGGATTACCGGGAATTTACCTACGGGAGTCGGATTGAAACCCTGATTTCAAACAAATCAAGAAGAGGCGTGTGAACTATAAACACAAAAACAACATCCTCTTTCTTGTAGGGGTCACGGATTCAATTGGGCANAATTGGGCATCGAGGCGTATTGGGCACAGTGGAAGTTTGACTATGTCCGAACGGCGTACGACCCTATGAACTGAACCCCCAATGGATTGCTGTTTTCACACACCGCCTCTCTACGTCGAGGGTGACGTGGTGGTTAGATGAAACCTCCGAGAAAATTCAACTCCTTTAGAGGGGTATCCTTGTATTATTCTACTCACTAATAAATCATGTATCAGAGGTGGAGTGTGAAAACGGCAGTCCACTGGAAGTTGGTGTCCAGTAGATCGGATCATACGCCCTTTGGGGGCGGTCAAACGTCCAAGGTGCCCGATAAACCTCGATGCCCAATTGGGCCGGTGACCACTGCCAGAACCAGGAAGAGGATTGTGTTTATAGGTCGTCAACCTCTTCTTTGGTTCTTTTCAAATCAAGGGTTTGTATCCAACATCTGTGGGTGAACTTCTGGTGGTTGACCGACTCCAATGCTGACTTCCATTCTTTCATTTTGATGAGGAAAACATCTCCATTACGTAAGACACAGTGACTAGGGCTTGGTTTGCAGCAGAAGATATTTGAGACGCTTGGTAGTGGAGAAGCATTTTGAGAATTGGAAATGAAGGGTACCTAGTCATAAACTGAAACACCAATCCCTGATCAACATGAAGCTCTTATCATAAGTGGAAGTGTAGCATACAGCGATATTGTTTGGGGAACGTGAAAATGCACATAGAAACAAGTTTTCCGTAACCTAACCCAACCTCCAATTCACTGATTGGTTTGTATTTTGTAATCTGTAATCGGTTGGCGGAGTGAATTAGTTCAGTAAAGTAATTCCGATTTTAGAAAATGAACGATAAAGCAGCCCCACTATGTTTCATTAAGCTCGTGGTCTATTACAGTTATGCGTTTAGAAACCTCATGGTGGTGGTGGTGCAGTAGTGCTACGAACGGGTTATTGTCCGACATGCCGAAGTATCAGTCAATGTGTACAAAAAACGTGCAATCGAATTACACTGAGAAGAGATATCCATGGCTTTTTGATCAAATCATAGTTAGACGGATACAAAAAATATAATAAACAACCCGCAGTAGATAAGAAGTGTCAATATCTGAGTATTCACGTTTGTTATTCCGTCTACCTCGATAGATCCCAGAACCAATTCTTGAATCATTTCTTTCAGTTGTAGTTCCCCGGATGTGCTTCGTTCATCCCCGATCACATCGGATGCCTCATCTGGCGCACCATCTCCATTTGGGTGAATCACTGGCTCCCGATCCGGATGATCATTAGTCTGACTGGGGAAACAGGTGGGTGCTCCAGTGGTACGCAGCATCTGTTGTCTGATTTGACAAAACTCATGGAAACAACGTGGCAGGTAGTTCTGTCCGCGCAATCCGGTCTGAGGTGCACAGTTGGACGGATCTGAACTCTCCACAGATGTAGTGGTCAGAATGTCGGCCACAATGACATTCCAAGACCCTTGGGAGAGCCCGAATGTGACTAACTGTCCGTTAGGTGCAAAGTGCCCGCCGGAAAGTCGTGGGAACGGACATCGTAACGCATCATCTTGTTCCAACCGAATCGAGGTGATGGGTGCAAATTCTGTGGTCGCACCGATACCTGTTGCATGTTCATCTGAACGAGATGGTTGATCGCGAACCGAAGCGGAATCGAGAGTATCCACCGACTGTGTACCCGAGCGCTATTGATGATAGAATGAAATTGAGAAGCGACTTCGGTTGAGGTCAGGAAAGAGAGAACGAGTTCAACTTGTCTGGTTCTACTGTGTCTCAGGTCAGTTAACTAAATGAATCCAAATTTGTGACAATATGAATAAACAGATGAAACAGTCAAGAAGCACAATGATAATAAGCCAAGGTCGATAAAACGGTCTACTTATTTTTTCATTCCAATAAGTGATTCTGTTCAGTTCATGAGAGCGATTTAAACCGTATCAAATATATCGTAACATGTTCACTCGAAACCGCAGTTCTGTTCGCAAAACTGCCACAAACCACCACGATAGAAACTAAACGTGTGTGTTCAACTTCGAAAGAAATTAATCAGAATATGGTTCAAAATAAAGCTAAAATTAAAAACACCAAAAATTAAAAATAAAATGAGCACCGTTCGGCGCAGAACTTGGACCCCCTTTTCAAGAGCAGTTTACATGATGTGTTTTGTTCACCATTCCGGCTACAAACAGACAGACTGAGATGACTACCACACACCGATAGCTTGCTCTGTTTCCTCAAATGGAATCGGGATAATCTATTGGATAATGATCGAAATAAACATTCACGCGTTTCATTCTCAACCTTTTTGGACAACGAATCAAAGAATTGGAGTCCTTTCCCATTCAGTCGATCGCACCTCCCCAAACAATCCGGAAAATAAGACCTTAAAACTGATGTACATGTATCGATGGGTCAAAAATTGTCTCCCTTCGGAGAGTAGAAGTGCACACGATTTAGGGCGTCCGCAAATTACGGATAGCGGAAAGAGAGCAACACTCATGATTAGCCACAAAATACGTGAGCACAGCCTTACACTGCGCAAACAGTAGTGGGCGAGCAGCAACAGTGCCCGAGGATGCCGTGGACTTTCGGTTGGCAGGCTTTCTCCCCATACAACGACACAAGAGTCCAGTAACCATACTGTAGCGTGGTGAACATGACGTGCCTTTGCCTACAAGGCCATCACCGCTTATCCCGTCTCATATATTCGACAAGGATTCCGTGAAACAATCTAGTGATGACCGGCTTTGCTGACAAAATCCTGCTGTGCTGAAAATTGTACCTGGATATGTCAAGGTTAGAATTGTCATCGAATAAATATTCAACGGCGCTGGGTGCACGGTTTGTAATCCAATTCCCGAGAATATTAATGGATAATGGTCACAATACTTCATCGTGCTACGAGATGAACATAGT